GGGCTGGGACATGGCCCTGCAGGGACACACAGGGGCTGGGACATGGCCCTGCAGGGACACATAAGGGCTGGGACACGGTCCTGCAGGGACACACAGGGGCTGGAACATGGTCCTGCAGGGACACACAGGGGCTGGGACACGGTCCTGCAGGGACACACAGGGGCTGGGACACGGTCCACAGGGGGCAGTATTCCCCCTTTTTCATTTTCTAGCTGCTCTTTGCTGAGGACAGCGCCATGCTTAGGCACTTGGGTGGTAGGACCTATCTGTCTGGGTTTCAACCCTGGACCTCCTCACCTGTCATCACGTGCGTGCCAGCCTCCTGGGCTGTGGGGAGGTGTGGAAAAGGCCACTAGTGCCTGGGACCCTGACCAGATGCCACGAGACAAGGGGGCTGGCAGGGGATGGGGGAGCTGCCTATGAGAGAGTGGGGGTGCTGGACTGAATTGTGCTGAAGCCTCACCCTGTCCTGGCAGACAGGGGGCCCTATGGGGCACTGGGGGTTTCTCCTTCTATTCGGGACCTTAGCCAGGAAGTGAGTGGGTCCTAAATCCAATCACTCTTAAATTATAAAAAGAGAAGAGACAGCTCAGAAGCAGCAGACACTAAGGTGGTCAGCAGACGCTGGAAACGAGGGAAGAGGCTTCCAGAAGGGACTTGTACGGTCGAAACCCGGATTTGGACTCCCAGCGTCCAGGACTGAGGAAATCACTGAATGTCTGTTACTGCAGCGCTAGGAGACTAAGACCCCAAGAGAGCCGGCGGAGATCGGGGGCGGGGATTGGGGGGTGGAGATTGGGGGGCAGGGGAGTAGGACAGACTTACGCCGCCTCCCTCTGGTCCTCATCCTGCTCTTGCTGCTGCCTCTCCTCCTCAGAAAGACGGTGCTGCCGGAGCATGGCCTCGAAGTCCACATGGGCCTGCCGCTGGTTCAGCTCCTTGAGCTCCTGCAGGTTCTCCAGGACCTCCATCTCCAGCTTGGAGTCCTTGGTACGGTTCTCCAGCACCTGTGGGCGCAGGGGCGGGGCTCAGTGCGCAGGGGCAGGGCAGGCACACGTGCCCATGCCCACACACACGCCCATGCCCACACACACGCCCACGCCTGCCAGCTCATGCTCACCTTCATGGGGTTGTTCAGCTCTTCGTCCTCCCGCTCCTTCTGCACCCGTTTCTCCTCCTCCTCCAGCAGCTTCTCGGCCTGGAAGTTCCGAGTGGCCCCGTGCTCCATCGTGTAGTCTGTGTTTTCGGGGTCTGTCTGGCAGGGAGAAGGGGGCAATCAATCTTCGTTCCTAAGTCCCTGGGTACCGGCACCGGAAGCTTCCACCCAACAGCTTCCGGGGGTCCGGGACATCTGTTCTTCCTTTTAAAGTCCTTCCATCTTGTTTTCTTTTCTCCTTTGACTGCTTTGGCTAAGGAATCCAAGTAGTGTAGTTGTGCTGTTAATCATATGGTCAGCAGTTCGAGTCCACCAGGTGCTCCATGTGAGAAAGATGAGGTTTTCTGCTCATGGGAAACCCTGTACAGCAGGGGTGGGGAACATGCAGCCCATGGCCTAAGGCCCACAGTTCTAGCCATCATATTGTTGTTGGTAAGAGCCTTCAGGTCCGTTCCAACTCCTAGCGACCCTGTACAGGGTTTCCAAAGAGCAGTTGGTAAGCTGGATTTGAACTGCCAACCTTGCAGTTCAAACTGACCTTGCAGTCCAGCGCATGAACCCACAGCACCACACCAGGACTCCAGTCATCACATTAGGGGTAAGTTTGGGTCTCTCCATCCCTTCTACAGGAACGCCCACTTCCTTAGAGGAGGACTTGAAGATCCTCGGCCACCGGCTTTCCACCACCCATCTCCCTCCACTCCCCACCCTCACCATCAGGCCTCTGACTATGTTGTGTCTTCTGTCTCCCCTCTTCCTTTTAGCTTTAAGAAGTAACAGTTCTCCTTGACTACGAATTACACATTCAAGAGCATCTACAGAAGGCTTCTACTGTGCTTAGAAAACCGAGGCTAAATCCAGGGAGACAGACAGCAGCTTCGTGGTTGCCAGGGACTGGGAGGGGAGAGGGACGGTGACTGCTAATGGATCTAAGGACCCTGGTGGTACAGTGGGGTCAGTGTCGGGCCAAAAGGTCAGCAGTTTGAAACCACCAGACACTCTCTGGGAGAATCGATGGCAGTGACTTTAGGGTCTATCTAATGGGTAAGGGGCTTCTTTCTTTTGGAGGTTCTGGATTAGGCAATGGTGATGCTTGTACAACTTGCAGACATACTAAAAATTTGAGTTCTGGAACAATACCAAACAGACCCAGTGTGCTGCACTGATTCCGACCCACGTGTTACAGAGCAGAACTGCTCCACAGGGTTCTCCTGGGGGTAATCTTTATGGAAGCCGATTGTCAGGCGTTTCTTCCACGGCACCACTGGGTGGGCTCAAGCTGCCAGGTTAGCAGTTGAACGCAACCTTGTGCGCTGCCCAGGGGACCTCCTGAGTTGTAGTTCATGGCTGGCTGCATTTTAAGTGAATTTCATCTCAGTAAATAAGGAGGCTGGGGACGTTTCTTGACTGTGCAATCATCAGCATCATCAGCTCAGCTAGCCTCTTCTTACCAAGCAGCTGGCTTTCTGCCTTTATGACCAGCAGCGCAGTGAGCATGCTCCCTCAGTCTTGGTCTCCCTGGGCAGGTGAGGAGGGTATGAGTGGGCAGCTCCCTGGGGCCTCCTGTGTTGCAGGGTCGGCATCCCTACCTTGAAGGTGATCTCGGCTAGGCAGCGCGTGCACTTGATGTAGAAGCGGAAAATGGGCAGGCCCAGGTAGAGCTCATTCTGCACTGTCTCTTTGCGCGCGTTGAACTTTTTCCCCTTGTAGATGTACTCTCCGCAGGTCTTACACCTGCAGGGTGGGAGGGAGGGAGGGCATCCTGATTGGTGCTTGCATGCCTCTGGTGATGGGGGGCTCACTCCCTCCTGAGGCAGATGTCGGTGTGCATTCTCTCAGCCTGGGTCTGAGTGCAGGTCATCTCCTCCGGGAAGGACAAGGTGAGTTATGCTTGTCACACATGCTCAGAAGCCAGCCTGCGCTAATGGATGCCCCTGTTCCCGGCCTCCCCGCTGGCCACCCAGTCCCTCCCTCTCCTGCCTGCTTCACGCCTGGTTGCAGTCCACCTGAGAACTTGTTCTTTCCACTGCCACCAAGCGTGGGTCCCAGGAGGACAGGGGCCCTGTCTCATCCTGAGTGTCCCACACACCCAACACAGACCCTGTCACACAGGGGGAGTCCAGCAGTCTCTTCTGGATAAATAAAAGGAAGAATGAAGATGAGAGAAAATTAGCTCATGAACACGTACTAAGTAAATTTCAATCAAACCAGAAGTGTCTTTGATTGTTGATGTCGCTGTTGTGGGCTGTTGTCGAGCTGATGCTGGCTCCTGGTGTGTGCAGAGGAGAAATGCTCCACAGGGTTTTCAAGGCGGTGGCCTTTGGGAAGCAGACCACTACGCCTTTCTTCTGAGGTGGTGTGAGTCATCACCAAACCGTTTAGCAAATGGTTAAGTGCTTAACTGTCTGCACTGCCTGGGGACTCCCTGGGATTATTTACAGTGTCACTAGGTTCTGTCTAGCCAGCTCCGACTCATAACGACCCTGTAAGAGGGTTCCCAAGGAGCGAGGAGTGGGTTTGAACAATCGTGGGGTTTAGAATTGGTAAAATATGGTATTCCCAAAGTACTAGTGTTGTTGTTGTTAATTGCCATTGTGTTTGTTCCAACTCAGAGTGACTTTGTATAGGCTTACTGAAGAGCAGTTGGTGGATTTGAACTAACGACCTTGTGGTTCAGACCAACCTTATGTTCAAGTGCTTATCCTACAGCACCACACCAGGACTCCAAAGTGCTAGTAGGAGGGAGGAATAGAGGAGGAGTTCGATACTGGGACTGTGCAGTGACAAGCTTGTTGGGTTTGCTAAAGGAGAGGAGTAGGAACAAGGGTCCCGGCTCCCCCTCTGCACTCCCCTAGTAACTAATGATTAATGATCAAAACCTCAGGGCAAAACCCAGAGCTCAAGTGACTAGAGAGAAATCCTAGGAACAGACGGTACATGGAGGGGATTAAATTCATTGTAATGAAACAAAGTACATGATTTGTTGAATGTGAAACTGATGATCTGCCCTGTAAACTCACTCAATTCATAATAAAAACTTTAAAAAACCCCCAGGGCAGGCAGTCCACAAACTACTCTGTTATCATGACACCCAGGCTACCATGTCTGAATGTCTGGATCAAGGACCCACTGGATCCTGATCAAAAGGAGATGTGTGGGACAGAACCGCCAACTCACACGGAAACCTGACTTACTGGATCCAAGGAGACTGGGGGGAGGAGGAGCTGTGAATCTAATGTCCGTAAACGATCTTTAAACTCTGAAGCAAAACTATTCCCTGAAGTCAGGTTTGTTCTGCCAACATTTATAACAACATTCATGGGCCATAAAAAATTATCAGCTTAAAAACTAGCCTGCTATATTTGGTCAGGAGTCCTGGTGTGGCGCTGTGGGTTAATGTGCCAGACTGCAAAGCCGTTTGAACTGCCAGGTCGGCGGTTCAAGCTCACCAGCCGCTCCTCAGAAACCCTATACAGGGTCGCTATGGGTTGGAACCGACACGACAGCACTTTACAACAACGACAACAAGAAGACATTTGGTCAAACATTTAATGAATTCATCCCTAATGTGATGGCTCCAACTGTAGTTGCCTTGGCAGGCCCAGATCAGATGATTTCTCAGCCTTATATGATCCAGCCCCACCTTGTTGTTGTTAAGTGCTTTTCGAATCACTTTCGACTCAGAGCGACCCTGTATAAGGTTTCTGAGAATTTCCGAGGAGCGGCTGGTGAGTTTGAACAGCCAGTCTTGCCACTGAAAGCTGACCTTGTGGCTCAGGGCTTTCTCCTACAGCTCCACACTGGGACTCCACCCATGGCTTGTTGCTGTTGTTAACTACCAACAAGTCGGTTCCGATTCATAGCGACCCTGTATGGGGTTTCTGAGGAGTGACTGACTGAGCTTGAACCACCAACCTTGTGGCTCAAAGCGACCTTGCAGCCTCACAGCAGGACTCCACGCCACCTTAGGTCATTGTTAGAAGACAGTCTAACCCAAGTAACCAACAAGGCTGCCCTTGAGCACAGCACACCTGTAGGGAATCATGTAGAGCGTCATTGGACACCGGGTAACCTAGGGAATGCAGGAGAGAACTTTGAGAGGCGGAGACCCTCACTAATGGTGATGAAGTCACATGGGTGAGAGAATGGTGACACAGTGTGCCGTGTGGGACCAGCATTCTTCACCTGTCCACAGGGGAGCTGTGAGTGAGCGTTCAGCTGTCTATATGACCACTAAACATGAGTAAAACAGAGACCCCAAACCTCAGGGCAGACACCGACTGGAGCTTCGACAGAGGACACAAACCCAAGCCTACGGCTGGCTGTCAAGCTGACTGGGCTTCATAGTGACTCTGCAGGACTGTGCAGAGCCAGCCCACAGGGTTTCCCAGGCAGTCACCTTCACCAGAGCGGACTGCCATGCCTTTCTCCCGAGGGGCAGCTAGTGGGTTCAAACCTCTAGAGTTAGAGTTAGCAGTGGCGCACTTAACCCTGAGCCACCAGGTCTCCTTCCATTGAGGGCAGGGGGTTCATCTGAAGGGCGAGGAAAGAGAGGCATGGCACAGTCCCTTGCTCAGACCTCTCGTCAGTCCTGGCCAGCTCTCTGTGGATGCTAGGAAGTGGGTCTGTCTGCCACAGTTGGTGGGAGGAGGTGGGGGCCACCAAGGGGCACTCACCTCATGTTGAAAGGGGCCATCAGTCGTACAACATACTGCCGGTCTTTGGGGAGCTTGAGTTTGGGGATCTTTGAGGGGTCAAAGTCTGGCGGGTAGTATTTCTGCAGGGAGGAAGGAAATGATGGAGTGAGCTATCTTCACACTTGGGGGCAGGACATGGGCAGAGAGAAGGGACTATGGAGAGCTGTGATGAGGGTCCCAAGACCACCCCCTGGAAAAACACGTTACTCTTGAGTCAATTCCTACTCATGGAGATCCCATGGGTTACAGAGGAGAAGTGGGCATTTCAGGATTGTGTTCTTCGTGGAAGCAGAGCCTCCAGCCTTTCTTCCGTGGAACTGTTAGGGGGGTTAGTTAGTATGCACCACCCTGGGCCCTCAGACCACCCGCAGCTTTGACTATTTGCTAGAAGGTCACCCAAGAATCTGTATATGAAAGGGATTCCAAAAGTTTGTGGAAACAGTCCATTTTTTCCACACGCCCTTTGAAGATTCCAATTGTGTGAGTCATTACAACACAAAGACGGAGCACACTCAGCAAGGGAGAGGGCCCTGCATGGGCGGAATCCAGAGGGCACTGGAGACAGGCTTCTAGAGCCTCTCCCCACGGGGAACATTTTGTTGTTGTTAGGTGCAGTTGAATCGGTTCTGACTCATAGTGACGCTATACACAACAGAAGGAAACCCTGCCTGGTCCTGCGCCAGCCTCACGATTGTGATGTTTGTCCATCTCACTGGGGGTCTCCCTCCTTATTACTGACCCTCCACTTTACAAGCATGATAGAGGACATGGGATGCACTTAATTCCCCCAGCGACAAGTTGTGACAACTATGTGAAGTGTTGTCCCCACAGAAGCTTGTTAGAGACCCAGCATTGAGGGTTGTTACTAGGGGCAGGGAGGGGCTGCATGGCTCGGGCCATGCAAAAACCATACTGTTTGCAGTTAGGGCACAGAAAACAAGTTTACCAATTAGGAAATGGCGGGAGGTGGGCTATTGTTGCTGTTAAGTGCCTTCTAGTTGGTTCCAACTCATAGTGACCCTGTATAGGTTTTCCGAGGTGTGGCTGGTGGGTCTGAACCTCCAACTTCGCAGTCAGCAGTCTAGTGCTTATCCAACTCCTACAGAGCCATACTAGGACTTGGGTGGGACATGGGAATCCACCGAGAACTCCTGTTCCCAGATACCAGCAGGCCTTTCTAAAGAGGCCACGGTCAGTCCCTCTGCGCTAGCTCTTTTCGGTACAGGAGCCCACAGTGACAGATGTGGGGAGGCTGAGTTTGGGTTAGGAGAGAACTCTATTGAGTCATCAAAGAAAGCGCTCTGGGCTTTGGGCACTTGGCATGTTTCAGACCCTGCACGGAGTGCTTCATGCTGCCCACAGAATCCTTGAAGAGAATCGATGAGACAGTGAACAATATGCCCATTTTGCAGAGGAGGAGACTGAGTCCAAGGTTTCAGCTACTCAAAGTCGCTGAGCCAGGACCAAAACCCAGGGTCTCGACTCTGGGGGACAGAGGGTGGTTTAGTGACATAGGGGTGTGGACTACGGAGCTAAAGGGTTTGGGTTCACGGTCTCCATTCCCTGGCAATTACTTATCATATCCTATGTACCCAAGAGTATTACTGTAAGGACTTGATGAGCAGAGCACATTGCCCAGCACACAGAAAAATCTACCAATAAGCTATAGAGCCCCTACTCGTCTGTCAATTTGTCTCCTGTGGTGACCTGCATGCTGCTGTGATGTGGAAAGCTGTACCACCAGCATTTTAGATACCAGCAGTCACCCATGGTGACTAAGACAAGACGAGGAAGAAAGAGAGAGAGAGGCAGACCACTTCTGAATGTTTGTTGTTGTTGTTAAGTGCCATCGAGTCGGTTCCGATCCATAGCGACCCTGTATAGGGTTTCCGAGGAGCAGCTGGTGAGCTGGAACCACTAGCCATGGAAAAATCTTATGAATAACACTGGAACAGTACACTGGTAGATATAATGCCAGATCTGATTGGAAGGTGCTCAAAATAAAACTGTGGCAACGAACGATTGTGAGGCTGGCACAGGGCAGGGCAGTGTTTTGTTCTGTTGTGTATAGAGTCGCTATGAAGTGGAACCGACTCGAAAGCGCCTAACAACTAGCAAAGTTATGGAAGGTCAGGGGAAAAGAGGCAGCCCTTCATCGGGGCGGGTGCACACAAATGTAATGGCGCAAGCCCGGGCACTGCTGATGTACATCACTATGAATCAGAGCCCACTCCACTGCACCTAACAGTAAGGAGCCTTATTTGTGCAACAATTCAGCGCTCAGCTGCTACTGTAACGTCAGCAGTTGAAACCCAGCCAGCAGCTTCGTGGGAGAAAGGCCTGGATCTGAAGACGACAGCCTAGAAACCTTATGGACCAGTTCTACTCCGTACACGGGGTCATGTATACGTCAGAATGAACTCAATGACTAAAAGACATTGAAATAAATGGCAGTTTGCCTGCCTGGGAAAGAATGGGAGGGTTTGACAAAGCCTGACAATTCCAAGGTACACGATTGGTTGGAATCGCAGGCAGGGCAGGGCCTACGAGAGTCCGTCCCAGAAAGTGACGTGAGGATGGAGCAATAGTTAAGTCATTTTACAGGAAACCCCGCCTCCATGAGAAGAGACTGGCTAATGCCCTTCAGGCAATCCAATCAGGGGAGAGAAGGGGCGAGGCTTAGCCAAAGTTCCCCATCTCCCGGAAGGTGATTGGGAGGGTTTATAAAGCCCCGTCTTCACAGAAGGTCGTTGGGGAAGCCCCGCCCTCGGAAAGGAAAAGGACTGTAATAGATTATAGAAAGCCAACTTTATTGGAGTACTTGAAATATCGCATCCCGATGGAAAGCCCCAGACACCCAATACTTACGTTTAAAACTTTTCGCTCCGACATCCTGGCTTCCTACTCTTGACAAATACCGGAGAACTCGTTAGGCTCGGTTTTTAATCGAACATCCACATTCAGCGGGTCGCTTCCGCTGACATCACTTCCTTCAATAACTATCATTGGCTGCAAGATGCACGGCGTGGCTTTTTCATTGGCTCGAATTCCCGCTTCTCAGCAAGGGCTGAGTCTTGCTGTTTTTCCTTCCGGCTTTGACACCTCTATAGTGCGGCACTATGGTTCCGGAAGAGCAATCTCCATTTGGAGAGGTACCGAGGGTTATGTAGTCTCTCGTTAAAATGTTTTGACGTGGCTGCTCGCCGCGCCACTGCCTGCTGTTCATTCTTTTATTCAATGAACAGGGACGGAAATAGTTTGTTTCCACGGGCTGCCCAGGCGGCGACAAAGGAGCGCTCTGGACGTATTGACTCCAAACGCACCTCCCCAGTACACATTGTTGCTGTTGTTAAGTACCATGGAGTCGGTTCCGACTCAGAGTGACCCTGCACAGGGTTTCCGAGGCTGTAAATGTTTACGAGAACAGAACGCCTCATCTTTCTCCCGCGGGGCCTCTGGTAGTTTTGAACTGCTGACTTTGAGGTTGGCAACCCAACTCGTAACCACTACCAAAGCTCCTTTCCCAGTATACATACCACACATCGTTTCCCAAAACCCCTCTAACACCTGCCCCATACACCCTGTTCCTTCCCTACTGCCCTCTCTCCCTTCATTAAAGGTTCTATCAAATGTATTACTCAGTAACGGACAAATCAGAGAATAAGACATAAGATTCTTACTCTCGCTAGAGACATTGGTGGGACAGGTGAACAATGAGCAAATAAATAAGACCATTTCAGAGGGTAGTAACCATACTAGTGGTGCAACAGTTAAGCGTTCAGATGCTAACCAAAAGGTTGGTGGTTCGATGCCACCCATCAGATCTGCAGGAGAAAAAAAATCTGAGAGGATCTGCTTCCAAAAAGACTATAGTTGCCTAGAGAGTCCGTTCCAACTCATAGGGACCTTATATACAACAGAACAAAACGCTGTCCAGTCCTGCACCATTAGAGAGCTGAGTGGCTTCAGGCGGGAGGCTTCCTGGTGGTGTGGGGTACCACTGATTCATGGAGTAAGATGGTACCTAACAGCAGTAAAACCAACAAGCCTCCTACATTATGAGAGAACACATTTCTGTTTGTTAAAAACATCTACCTGTGGCATTTCTGTTACACGTTACAGCAGCAGGAGACAACAAAGACAAGGGGAGAATTCATTTCCTTGCCTCTTCTAATTTCTAGAAGCCACGTGTATTCCTTGGCTTATAGCCCCACATAATTCAAACCTCTGCTTCAGTCCTTGTATTTCCTTCTCTAACCCTGACCCCCTCGTCTCCTCTTATAAGAGCCCATGTCTCCCCTTATAAGCCCCAATAGCATTGGACCCACCCCCCACATAATCCAGAATAATCCCCTACCTCAAGAATCTTACTTTAATTACACCTGCAAAGTCCCCTTTTCCTTGTAAACAGGTTCTGGGGACTACATACATCTTTGGGAGCCATTATTTTGCCAGCCACCTACGGGCTGGTCAAAGCAGGCCTCTCCAAGTAAAATCCGAAGACACGCCCTTGGATACCCACTGACTTTCAAAGCCTGGCTGTCTTGTCATTTCCTGGAAGAAACTTTCCCAGACTCCCTCCTGTCCCATTTGCATCTACCCACAGTGTGGCGTGGACTCCTGGTGTGGTGCTGTAGGGTCAGCCCTGGACTGTGAACCACACAGGTCAGCAGTTCAAACCCACCAGCTGCTCTTTGGAAACCCTATACAGGGTTGCTATGTGTCAGTACTGGTTTGACAGCATTTCACAACAACAACAATGTGGCTTGCTTCTGGGCAGCTTTTGAGGGGCTGCGTAAACCAAAAGATAGAACTGAATACTTTGAACTGCTAGTTCCTAGCAGAACCTTCTCCACCTCTGCCCAACTCCCCCAGGTCCTCCTCCCTACCCCCTCTGAATGACAGGGTGAAGAGACCCAATTCCAGTAACAGTGGCTCTATTTTATTGAAAGCTTGGAGACTGTCTCACATTCACAGTGCCCTGCACTGTGGGCAAAGGAGGGAGACTAACCCCATTTCACAGACAAGGAAACTGAGGCCCAAAGAAGTTAAAGTCTTCGGTCCATGGTGGCCCAGCAACTGCAGCGGCAAAGCCAGGACTCCAGGCCAGGCCAGTCGGGCCCCATTCACATCTGAAGCGGGTGTCAGGGGCCCAGCTGGGAAGATCCCTGCTACCTTGCCTGAGGGATGGGGAGCATGGCAGGTGAGCTCCAGTCACTTAGTTCTCCGTAGCCCAGAAGGTCCTTAGCAGCCACCTGGACACAATACCTGGCTTCTGGTCGCACAGGCCTGAGGGTGAAGGATGTGTCCTCCATGGGCCCCACCTGAGAGCAGAGAGGGGTTCAGGTCACTTGGAAGAAGGAGGTTAGGAGGTGCTCTTATGCCCAGCACACATGACATGCTGCCCTATTGATCTCCAATGGTTGTTTTAATAAATGAGTACCTCGCAGCACATGATTCCTTCTTATGGCTGAATAACAGTCCGTGGAAGAATTGGACTTGTTTTTGTTGTTGTTAGGTGCCATCGAGTCAGTACCGACTCATAGCGACCCTATTGCACAACAGAACGAAACACTGTCCGATCCTGGGCCAACCTCACAATTGTTGCCACGAATTGAGTCCACTGATGCTGCCACTTTGCTGGTTCGTTGCTTTTGTACCATAGAGTCGGTGCCGACTCACAGGGACCCTGTACAGGGTTTCCGAGGCTGTAAATCTTTACGGGAGCAGAAAGCCTCATCTTTCTCCCGTGGAACAGCTGGTAGTCTCGAACTGCTGACCTTGCGGTTTGCAGCCCGATTTGTAACCACTACGCTACCAGAGCTCCTTGCCAATCGGACTACAGGCTGTTAATTCATTCAACTGTGGATGAACACCTGGGTTGTTTCCACTCTTTGGCCATTGTGAATAGTGCTATTATGAACACACACGGGCATGCATGTGTTTGCGTTCTTGTTTTCAACTCTTTTAGATGTAGACCTAGTAACGGAATTAGGATTATGAGGAAGACACTGGACTGGGTAGTGATATGGTCTGTTACCCACAGCGTCATTATGAGTCAGAACCAACTCAATGGCACCTAACAACAGCCACTGTATGGACTTCATTCCTTTATGGTTGAAAAATATTCCACTGGATGTCTAAACCACATTTTGCTTATCCATTCATTTGTTGGTAGACGTTTGGATTGTTTCCACCTTTTGTTGTTGTTGTTGTTAGGTGCCATTGTGTCGGTACTGACCCATAGCGACGTTATGCACAACAGAACAAAACACTCCCTGATCCTGGGCCAACCTCACTACTGTTGCCACGCTTGAGTCCATAGATGCTGCCACTTGGCCAATCCATCTCGTTGAGGGTCTTCCTCTTTTTCTCTGACCCTCCACTTTACCAAACATGATATCCTTCTCCAGCGACTGTTCCCTCCTGACACTATGTCTGAAGTATGAGAGATGAAGTTTGGCCATCTTGGCCTCCAGGGGGCGCTCTGGCTGCATTTCTTCCAAAACGGATCTATTGGTTCTTTTGGCAGCCCATGGCACTTTCAATAGTATCAATCCAACACCATAACTCAAAGGCATCAATTCTTCTACCTTTTGGCTTTTGTGAATTGTTGCTGTTGTTGTTAAGTGACGTTGAGCCAGTTCTGATTCACAGCAAGCTTGTGTAGGGTTTCCAAGGAGCGGCTGGTGGGTTTGAACCACCGACCTTGTGGTCGAGTGTTTATCCTGCAGTACCACACCTGGACTCCCATTGTGAAGAGTGCTGCAGTGAACACAGGTGAACGGAGCCTGCATGGATTGATGTTTTCATTTCTCTTGGGCAGCTACCGAGGAGCGGAATTGCTGGCTTCCTTTATTTTACACACTTCCACTGCCCGCTGCCATCGAGTCAATTCTAAGTCACAGCAACCCCTACGGGACAGGGACGGAGGAGAACGACTCCCTAGGGGCCTAAGGCTGCCAATCTTCATGGAAGCAGACAGCTGCATCTCTCTCCCATGGAGCGAGTGGCTGATGGGTTCACCTTTCGGTTTGCAGCCTAACACTTAACCCACGGTGCCACCAGACTCCAGTGTACCACCCCACCAAGTGTATGCAATCCCCAACACACCTCCAAACCTCCAAACCTTTATCCTCTACCTGTCACGCCTGGTACCCTCTGCTCCTCGCCTTCATCCTCCTCACCTTCTGGAAACGAGAAGCCCCATGACGCTTGTACCGGATCCAGTACTGGAGTCTGAAGATCTCTGGGAAGGGCCAGGACCTTGGGGGATCCCATTGTATCCGCAGTTGCTTCCCAGGGATGGGGCTCAGGTGGACACTCTCTGGAGGGTCTGATTTGACTGGTGGACAAACAAACAGGAGGTAGGGTCAGGGGAGGGAAGGCAGATTCATTAATTTCACCAACAGATATTTTATTGAGTGTCCATTGAATGCTGGCCGCTCTACCAATGCTGGGCACAGTAGTAACCAGGACAGACCCAACCCCTGTCCTTGGGGAGTTTATAACCCATCAGGAGAGAAGATAAGAAACAGAATGCCCATCAGTAGCTCATATACAGTAGGCAAGAAGGTTTGGGAGTTAAGGAAGAAAGTTTGAGAAGTAGGGCATGAAAGGTGAGTTGCAATGATTTTTTAAAATTTTTTATTGTGAATTGAGTAATAGTTTACGTAGAAGAACATTGGTTTTACACTCATTGTTTCATGGTAATGATTATAATCTCCTCTGTGCATCATCATTCAACAGTATTTCCTTCTATTCCCTGTTGTTGTGTTGTTGTGTTTTTTTTGGGGGATGTACACAAAACCACTCACGGATATATAATCATTTAAACGACCAAAGGGCACATGCTGCAAGCCACAATGAGTTTTTAAGATAATTAACACACCATAAATGTTACCTGTATAGTGTAAAATTCTATGGTTTTTCACCAGTTTAGCCTTTTATAGTGTACAACTCAGGATAACCACAAGGTTGTGTAGTTATCACCACAGGCTAATTCTAGAACATTCCGTTCACTTCCAAAAGAACACACAGACCCACTAGCAATGACTCCCCATAGTCCCACTCTCTGTCCGGCTATAGATTTGCCTGTTCTGGGCTTTTCTTACTGGCATCAGATAACATATGCCTGATTCTTTGACTAAGCATCGTATTTTCAAGGTCCATTCATGATGTGGCGTGTCTCAGAACATCGTTCCTCTACGTGGCTGAATAAGTAGTCTTTGTGTAGATGGACCACATTGAGTTTACCCATTTATCTGTTGATAAAGACACTTGGGTTGTTTCTACTTTTTGTCATTATTATTAACGCTGCCATGAACATTACGGTACACAATTTTTTGTATGATTCTGCTTCCACGTTTATATAGTAACTGGTTTATAGGATAACTCTTAGGTTCAACTTTCTGAAGAACTACCAAACAGTTTTCTAAAGCGGCTGCACCATTTTATATTCCCACCAGCAATGGATGAGGGTTTGCATTTTTTAAGCATGCTCAAAGAAGGCTTCCTGAGGTGACATTTGAGAAGAGACCTTAAGGCAGGGAGGGAGGAAGCCATGCGGGTGTCTGTGGGAACAGCTTGTGCAAAGGCCCTAAAGCAGGATCAGGCCTGGTGAGATAGAGAAAATAGCATGAAGGCTCCGTGTGACTGGAGCAAGCAAGCTAAGGGGAAAGAGGAGGAGGGGAGGGCAGGGAGGGAACTAGGCAGGTTGGGCGCGGGAGGGCTTGGGCTTTGCAGCGACGGAGGTCGGCGCCTAGGAGGGCTGTGGACAGAGGGATGGGCCTGACTCCGGTGCTCACGGGCGCCCTCTGGCGGCAGTAGGGAGAACAGATCCCGGGGAGGGAGGGAGTCAGGGACCAGGGCGGAGGGGACTGCACGGGTTCAGGAGGGTGATCAGAAGGCTGGACCGGGTGGAGGCAGAGGAAGGGAGAAGTGAGCGGAGTCTGGGTGGATTGTAGAGGAGGAGTCGATGGGACTAAATGACAGGTAGAAGGTGGAAGTGAAAGAGAGGGGAAGGTGCAGGAACGGCATGGTGCCCCTCTCATCCCCCCATCCTTACACTCACTGATATGTTCTGGAATGAAGGCCAGGAGGGTGCTGCTGACGCCGCTGGGGTGGACAGCTGTGACGTTGAGCACGTAGGGTACCAAGGAGAACATCTGTACTTCCGGGATGGCACAGCGGGGGGTTTCTGGTGTTGGCTGGAGGCATGGTCGACTCTCCCCCTCAGGGGCCACTCCAAGCCTAGTACGAGGTGGGCTCTGTGAAGGCCTTGGGGCCAGGCTATACCTTTGACTCCAAATAAAAGCCAGCAGGAAGTGGGGAGCAGGCCAGAGGGGGGGTTCCAAGGGGCTGGACCTGCTCTGGGCTCTGCCCCCTGTAGTTGTGTGATCCTGGGGAGTTGTTCACCCCCACATTAAAAGGGGAGGGATCACAGAGGGGAGGATTTTAAGATTCTAAAGTTTTCTGGAATGTCAACCTACTAGAGTTGACATTCTGGAGTCTGGAATCTAAAATAAGAGGATTCAGTTTCTCTAGGTTTCTATGTCACCCCTAGCCTCCAACACTTCAGAGCTTAGAAGACTGGAGCTCACTGACATCATAGAATTTCTCAGAACATTTAAAATGCTCTATTTGTCTGTTGTCCAATGTAGCAAGCACCAAGCAGGTGTGGCTGTTGAAGACTCACCATGTGACTGAGTGTGACTTTTAAATTTAAGCTAATTTGTCCTAATTTATATTTTTTAATGGGTACCTGATTCAGATACAGGAAAACTCAAAAGGTCATCAGGAACAAAACAGATGTGTGCAGCTGTTTCTTCAACTGCAGATTTTACAAAATCTAAACAAAACCAGGAGCCCTCCAGTTGACCACCACGTGTATCAGAGTAAAACAGTGTGTTAGTGGCTGATTTTTCAGAAGTGGATTGCCAGGCTTTTTCTTCCAAGGCACTTCTGAGTGAACTCAAACTATCCCCAGAAAGCCTTGTGTCTCCAAGATCCTTGCCCAATTCTCTGACCTGTATGTGGTGATGAAGGACATGAGTCTGCTGGAGTTTGGAGCTGGAGGCTGAGTCCACGAGCAGTCTATGGCAATTGGGTACCTGAAGGCTCGGCACTGCACCCTGAGGTGGCTGTCACCTGCTGGGAGCCATGGGAGGGAGGCGGAGAAGCGTGAGATCAGATTCCTGGCCAGATTTTCAAAGCCCTACTCTGTGTTCAGCCCTGCACACTGTCAAACAGTAGGTGCCTAATGTGTGTGGAAAGAATGAGTGAATGAATGAGTTCATCTACACTTATCTCTTAACCTCCCTACAACCCACAAGACAGGAGTGATTAACCCATTTTCCAGGTGGGGAAACTGAGGTTCCAGGAGCCACAGAGAGGAAGTGGGTAGCAGGAACTCAGGTGGAAGGGAGATGTTTAGCTGTGTCTCTATTCTGCAGCATCTTTGTGTTAAAACACATAATGACATTTCCTATACCAAAACGAATACCTATAATGAAAATGCTTAGTTAATCTGTGTTTGAGTTGATATTAGCTGACATCAAGTTGGTCCCTGTCTCATGGTGACCTCACCGTGGGACAAAGCACTGCTTCATGCCAGTCCTTCACCGTCCCCATCACTGATGGCAGATCCGACCCTTGTGCTCCATAGAGTTTACTGTTTTTGTGGGCTGATTTTCAGAAGTAGATCACTTTCATCCTAGTCTGTCTTAGTCTGGAAGCTCTGCTGAAATTTGTTCAACATCCTGGTGACATACAAGCCTCCACTGGGGGACGTGTGATGGTTATGCGGTACACTGTCTGAGAGTCCCCCAGGTGGCCCACACAGAAGGCGAGAGAATTCTGTCACTGAACCTGTCATTGCCCGCTGCTGTTAATGTTGTTAGCAGCGGTCGCGTCAGTTTGACTCAGACTCGTAGATTTTCTAAGTTATCATCTTTACAGGAGCAGATGGCCAGCTCCTTCCAAGAGGCCGCTGGGAGGCTTCCAATCTCCAACTTTTCTGTTAGTATCCAAGAACTTAAACATTGCACCACCAGGGGCGCTGTAGGATAAGCACTCGGCTGCTAACTGCAAGGTCGGCAGTTCAACCTACTAGCAGCTTTTGGGGAGAAATGTGTGACCTTCTGCTCCGCTCCAGTAAAAATTTACAGCCTCAGAAGCCCTGTACAGGGTCGGTAGGAGTCAGAATCCACTAGGGGACGGTTGGTTTCCTATATAACGTTGCTGTCCAGCCAGTTCCAACTCATGGTGACCCCGTGTGTTACAAAGCAGAACCATGCTCCCTCCATAGGGGTTTCTTGGCTGTTAGCTGGTGTGGTGTGGCGCAGTAGGATAAGCGCTCTACTTCAAGCGTGATTTGAACCACAAGGTTGGTGGTTCAAACCCACCAGCTGCTCCCTGGAAACCCTATGTTGTTGTTGTTAAGTGCCGTCGAGTTGGTTCCGACCCACACCGACTCTAAATAGGGTTTCCAAGGCTGTAAATCTTTACAGGCGCAGAAAGCCTCATCTTTCTCCTGCAGAGCAGCTGGTAGTTTCGAACTGCTGACCTTGAGGTTTGCAGCCCGATTCGTAACCACTACGCTACCCACAGGGTCACTATGTGTCAGAACCGACTAGACTTAACAACAATCTGGTGTGGTGTTGTAGGATCAGCAAGCTACAAAGTTGGCAGTTCAAGCCTACCAGGTGCTCCTTGGAAACCCTATACAGGGTTGCTATGAGTTGGAACTGACTCGATGGCCCTTAACAACAACAACATCTTTAAGGAAAGGGATCATCAGACTTTTCTTCTGCATTGTCCCTGGGTGGGTTCGAACCATTAACCTTAGTTTCGTGTGGAGTGCAAACTGTTTTCGCAATCTATGTCCATATCATATCTCTGCCTACATATCTCTTCTCCAGTTTCCTCATCTATACAATTGGATGTAACCCCATCCACCAATACATATACGTTAGCGATGTTAGTTCCTGCTCCACCCATCCCGCCAGGATCTACCCCTTCCCCACTACAGGGTCCCGCGCACCTTCACTTCCAGTGCAGGACACACAGACCGCCCAGAGAGCCACGACCAGGAGAAGCCGTGGCGTCATGCCGCCAGCACTGTGTCAGGTCCGGGCCTGGAGCGGAGCAAAGACCGAAGCAAGGACCGATGAACTGGAATGTTGCCAGGCAGGCAGGGGGCTGGGATCCACCCCAGGAAGGCCAGGCCAGGTCACAGCCCCATCGGCTTCCCCGGGGGCCTGACTCACACACACAAACACACATCCCACTCATAGTTGCCCCCGGAATGTCCCAGGGAGGCGGGGCTGAGGCCAGGAAGGGAGAAGTGGGGACCCCATGGCTTTTCCCAGCGAGACTGTTCCTTCCGTCTGGCTTCCGGTTGCAGCTGTGGAGAGGTGAAACCCCAAGAGGGGGAGGGGGCCACGAGACAGAGACAGAGGGGAGGAGAGAGACAGGAATGAAAGTAGAGAGACAGAGAAATAGAAACAGAGACCCACAGAGATGGCGCCACAGTGAGAGATGTTGCTGAGAGGATGGTCCACACTGCCTCAGGGTCACCGTGTTCACTCATGAGTCACTTTGCGGGGGTGGGGGTAGGGGCACCTCTTGCTCCAGCCTGGCTCCAGCTGCAAACCACCAAGGGAGAGCCTGAAACCTACAGATGTGGAGGTCCTGGGGAGCTGGGGAGCTGGAGGATTACCTTCCGGGATCCGCCCAGCGATGGGGAACCCTGACCACCAGAGGAAACTCCCAAGGACAGGCTGGGCATGCTTGAGATTCAATCACTCTCCTGCCTCCTCCCGCCTCAGCTGGGAGCCAGGAAACCCCAAGGGCTTTTCCAGGATTTGCCAAGGGTCCAGGAAGCAGAGCAGAGGCCAGGATTAGGGTGAGGAGAATGAGTGCATGGTGGGATCCATCTTTATGTAAAGCACTGATTTTTATGTAAAACATCATGGACTTTGTGACATTCATTTTGATTTTGTTGCATCTATTACCTGGCAACCTGATTCATCATGGTGACTGATTTGGGTACCCCCTGAAATTCTGTGTAGAGTTCTTCGATGGTGTAAAAAGTTGAGTACCTCTTTTACTAACCAAGAAGTTGGTGGTTCAAACCCACCCAGCGGTATCTTGGATGAAAGGCCTAGAGACTGATTTCCTAAAGCTGACTGCCACTGGAAACACTATGGAGTGCCGTTCGGCTCTGACATACAGGGGTCGCCATGAGTTGAATCGACGCAATGGCAATGGGGTAGATGGCACAGACACTTTTGACTGATCCATCCCTACCTGCACAGTGCCTACAGAAGCACAGCTTTAAATGGACCCTGCTCAGCTGTCCACCTAATGAGGTACCTTGGAAGAAAGGCCTGGCAACCTCCCCTACCCCCCCAAAAAAAAAAGATCCACTGAAGATCTGCCGGAATCCAGTTCTACTTGGACACACGTAGGGTTACCAAGAGTTGGCATGGACTCCACAGCCACTGGGTGGGCCTTGGCTTTATAAACATCTTTTTGTATTCCAGGCAGGTGGTTCCTTTGCCTCATCCTCTTCCCAGCTCTGGGTGCTCCCTCCAGACAACCCCCCCCCCCCACAGCCCAAAGCGGAAGCCCACCAGCCAGACCACACGCTGTCTTTACTCCTGTGCACAGTGATGTTTTATTCCAGGTTTGTCGTCAGGTGACGGGATGTGGGGAGGAGTGGACTCAGAATCTCTGGTCAGGGCAGGGACCAGAGACACGGATGGAGCCGTTAAGGGACAGTTAGGATGGGGCTGGACAGGGCTTTCGCTGATCTCCAAGTGGGAAAGGTCAGTGCAGAGGTCCAGAGAGTCCTAGGGGTCCGAGTGGAGCCAATCTCTGCAGGCTTGGATAGGCAGAGGCACAGGGGACCCCCAAGGAGGCGCTGTCCCCGCCCAGCCTCAGCGGCCCTGAGCTTGGAGCCTTTGCATTTGCAGGATCTGACTGAGAATGTGCTGCACATCTTCATCCATCTGGCCCTGGGGGGTAGAGAGCAGAGAGAGAAAGGCCTGAAGATCTATTTCTGAAAGTAATAGCCAGTTCGACTCCGACACACAGGGGTCTCCGTGAGTCAAAATCAATCAAGGGGGCTTCAGAAAGTTCATGGGAAAATGGAATGAAGAAATAATGAAATTTTCTCTACAATTTTTTTTTTAAAGCCCCCACATACTGGCAGGTGGTCCCTGCCTCCTTGGTGCCCACAGAACAATAGAGTTTTAACTGGGCCCTGCTCAGCTGCTATCTAAAGGGCTGGCAATTCGAATTCACCCAGAGGTGCCTCAGCTGAAATGCCTGGCAACCTCGTTCTGGAAAAAAACATCCACTGAAAATATGATGGAGCCCTGTTTGACAGACATAAGGTGCCCTACCCTGGTCTCTCACTCTTCTCCCTCCCCACCCCTGATCCAGCCAGCCAACCCCAGGAGACAGGGTGGGGATTAACATACACTGGTTTCAACAGACCATGAACCTATCCCCAGGATCAGCTTCCCACTTTACAAATGGAGAAACTGAGGCACAGAGAGAGGAAGTGGTACACCTGAAGCCTGTGGGGTACCATGTCAGGGGCCATGGGTAGCTGACTCACCTCCTTTACACTCACCTGGATAGCATAGAGTAGGTGACTCCGATACAAAGCCACAATGGCACTGTGGTCCCTGATAGACTCCTGTGGACATGGGGGAAAGGGGGTGCTCATAAAAGCTGGAACCACCCCCAAAACACCCTCTTGCACCCAGACCCTGGTGCAAGAATTTATTATGAATTGAGTTACAGTCTCATTCAACAAATTAGACACTTCGTATCATTATGATTGCAGTCAACTCCATGTATTTACCTCTTTATTCACTTTATTTCCCCCCCCAACCCCCACCCACCCTGTAACCATCAGAGAAATGGTTCCTTTAGCAAGAAAAACATTTCTTAACTTTTTACAACAGTCAAACCCTGTATTTGGATGTAGGAATCAGCACAATGATGCCCGTTGCCAAAACATGAACATCTCTTCTGCCCACAAGTGGACAGTGCGCCTCTGCTCCCTGCTGGCGGCTCCTGGGCCCTGGCTGTCCTCACCTCCAGCTGCTGCTGCAGTGCCTTCACCTGGCCTCGAAGCGCCTCCACCTCAGAGGTAGCTTGGGTGGCTGGCTGGTCCTTCAAGGCCTCCTTAAGGCTGAAGACTTCTTTGGAGAGCTCTGTAATCTGGAAGGCAGAGAGCTAGGGACTGGGGATACCTTGAGGCAACAGGAAGAGGATAGGGACGCAGACTTCCATGGGTTAGCAAACTCTGGCCTGAGAGCTGAGTATAGCCTGGAGTTTATTTTTATACGACTCAGAAGCTAAGAATGGTTTTCACCTTTTTAAATGGTTGGGGGGTAAAAAATTAAAGGCCAAAAGAATAATCGTATTTTGTAACGTTGAAAATGATAAGAAATTCAAATTCAGGATCTGAAAAGAGTTTGGAGCCTCTGGGTGGTGCAAATGATGAGCACACACAGCTACTAATGGAAAAGGTGGAGGTTTGAATCCATCTACCCAGAGGTGCTTCGGAAGAAAGGTCTGGCTATCTACTTCTGGAAAATCATCTACTAAAAACCTTTTGGTTCACCTCTGATAATACACAGGGTTACCATGAGTTGGAGCTGACTTGGCAAGAGCAACTGGCTTTATTAAATAAAGTTTTATTGGCACAAGCTAGGACCATTCATTAACATGCTCAAGTGTTAACATGTTGAGGTGGCTTTAAGTGCATGACATACAGTTGTTACAATGGGATTTCCTGATGTAGTGCTATAGGATAAGCCCTGGACTGGTAACTCTAAGGTCTGTAGTTCAAACCCACCAGCCACTCAGAGGGAGAAAGAGGAGGCTTTCTGCTCCTGTAAATATTAACAGCCTCAGAAACCCTACATAGAGATGCTATGAATTCAGTCCACTGAACGGTAATGAGTGAGTAGTTATAATGTTAAGTTGGAACAATGACCTTCATGCCAGACTTGCTTATTGGCTACAACCGGCTCTTTTTCCTTCTCTGTGTCTCAGTCTCCCATCTGTAAAATGGGCTGATTTTCCTTCTTAGGTGGGATATTCTTAGAGACCCCCCTCTCCCCAGCTGAGCAGCACCTACCTTCTTGTCCTTCTCCTTGGCCTTATCCAGGGCCTCCTGGGCGCGGCTCTGAGCCTGGCGTGCCCTCTCGGCCTCGGTACGCAATCCCCGAATCTGTTGTTCTGCTGTGGCCAACTGGGCCTCCGCCGCATGTCGCTCACTCTTCATGAACAGTGCTTCCCGCTGAACCTACAGTCCAAGTCCACGGGTGACTGAGGATGCTTGCACCTTCAGGAGTCTTGGACTCCAAAGATGCTTCAAACCCATGGCCCAAGGACATATAAATAAGTCCCACCAATTAGCCCCCAATACTCAGCACTGACTGGCAGGACCCATGAAAGCGCTGGATTTCTCTTGGTACTGAAAACATTTGACCCTGCCAGGCACCCATTGCCTGCCAGCTGTGTGGACCACGCTGCCTCTATTTCCTCATCTGTAAAATGGGAATACTAGTAGCTCTTCCCACTACTTCTCTGCCTGTTTGTCACTTTGTGGTGACTTGTGTGTTGCTGTGATTCTGGAAGCCATGCTAATGGTATTTTAAATCCCAGCAGGATCACCAATGGTGGACAGGTTTGAGCTGAGTTTCCAGACTAAAGACTAAGACAGACTAGGAAGAAGGAGAGGTGGAGTACTTTAAAATGTTTAGACGCTGAAAACCTTATGAATAGCAGTGGAACACTGTCAGCACCAGAACACTGAAACATTGAAACATGATGAAAAGCACTGAATATTGTCAGAAATAGGGGCGGAATTTGAACCCCTCCGGTTGGAAGTCACTCAAAATATGACAGGGGAAATGTTGCCTCTTTAAAGTAGAATTGACCGAGATGATGAGAATGGAGTAAAACCCATGGGAGAAAAGCCCGTGGGACCTTCATTTGCTGATGGAGCACAACTCAAAATGAAGAGAAACAGCTGTAAACATCCATTAATAACCGGAACATGGAATGTATGAAGTATAAATCTAGAAAAATTGGAAATGTCAAAAATGAAATGGAACACATAAACATCAATATCTTAGGCATTAGTGAGCTGAAATGGACTGGTATTGGCCATTTTGAATCTGACAACAACATGGTTTACTATGCTGGGGATGACAAATTGAAGAGGAAATGGTGTTGCATTCGTTGTCAAAAAGAACATATCCAGATCAGTCATGAGGTACAACGCTATAAGTGATAGGATAATATCCATGCACCTACTGGGAAGCCCAGTTAATACCACTATTATTTAAATTTATGCACCAAACACTAAAGCCAGTGAGGATGAAATAGAAGAATTCTATTAACTTCTTCAATCTGAAATTGATCAAACATGCAATCAAGATGTATTGATCATTACTGGTGATTGGAATGCAAAGATTGGGAGCAAAGAG